GAGGCTTTTTGAGCATAGACAAGACTCTGGCTTGTCTATCAGCCAGGGTGTAGTCGGGGAGCGGGGTCATGGGGAGACAGAAGCTTCCAGCTAGAGGATGAAGGATGGAGCGATGCCCCAGGGGAGGCCAGATGGGAAGGGAGCAGAGCATGGCGTGACAGTAATTTGATCACATAATGTTAAATGCACTTCGAGCTCCATGGGAAATCTCCTGGGGTGGTCAGCCTGTGTTGGTTGGGAGGAGATGCTGGAAGTTGGACAGTACACAGCATCTACTACATACCCTTGCCCTCCCCTCCAGCCCCTGCCACACCTACACTGGCAGGGGCTGGTCGGGGGGCAAGCGTACATATCTAGAGGGAAAGAAGGCAGGCGCCTGTCTGGTTTTGAGCACTGAGAGTGATGGCTGAGCACTTCTGCAGAGCCCAGCTACCCCTCTGCTGCCAGGGAGCTAGGGAAATAAAAACCTTACATGTATGTGCCTGAGCCCTGGCCAGCGCCTTACTTCCCTGGGACTGTGGACAGAACTTCCACTCTTCCAGCTGATGCTCAGGCCCCTCTAGGGACAGCAGGCTGGCTCAGGACTGGTCAGTTGGGGCTGGCCCCTTACACACCACTCTCTGCCAGTCCCAGATCTTATTTCCATGTGGGGACCAAGGAGGCAACTTCCCAGCCTCCACCCCTCTGGCACCCTTGGGGGATAGGGGTTAGGGGCCAGCCCCTGTACCCCCTCCATTGGGAGCTTCCCTGAAACTTTCTTAGCTCTGCACCTCCTTACAGGATAACCTGCTTAATTTTTTTAATGTTTATTTATTTTTGAGACAGAGTCAGAACATGAGCAGGGGGGAGGGGCAGAGAGAGAGGGAGACACAGAATCTGAAGCAGGCTCCAGGCTCTGAGCTGTCAGCACAGAGCCCAATGCAGGGCTCGAACTCATGAGCTGTGAGATCATGACCTAAGCCGAAGTTGGATGCCTAACCAACTGAGCCACCCAGGTGCCCCTACAGAATAACCTATTTAAAAATGTAATCCTCACAGAAATCCTGGGCGAAAGGCATTATTTCTGTCTTTACACAGAAGGCGTGGAGGCTGCTCTGTACCCTGAGATCTGGCTCAGACCAGTCTGTGCTCTCTGCTTTACTGCCTCTCCTCAAGGCAGCCACAGTTGCTCCCTGGCACCAGCTAGCCCTGTGTCCCCTGTCAGGTGCCCTAAACCACAGCCCAACAAAGAGGAAGGGCTCCCGTGAGGTGAGCCTGGGGCAATTTTGGCCCCCAACCACCTAAAGCCTGTCCCAAGGAGCTTTTGAGACAGGCCAGTGCTCCTGGAGCTCGGCCCACAGCTGGGCCCTTACTTGAGAGGTAGCTGGTGATTGGGGATGACTGAAAAAGTGGAATGGGGACGAAACAGTGGTTATGAAGAGTTTTTCAAATGCTCAAAAGAGGATAGAAAGACTTAAAAGAAAAAAAAAAATCCTCCGAGGATGTAGTGGCTTTTTGGGTCCTTTGTAGGACAAGGATCGAAGAGAGAGGGGCAGAGTCAGACAAGAGCTACACAGGGCACACCGTGCCTGGACTGCAGGCTTCATGAGCCCTGGGCTCCAGGCGAGGGTCCCAGGGTGGCCCCTCCCTTTTGCAGGGCAAGCTGCTCCTGAGAAGGGCGTGGGGATCTGATGGCCCTTGGGCAGAGCAGGGGTGACTTCCTTAGGGTCCCTGCCTCTTCTCAGGAGACCCAGGCAGAGCCAGAAGATCACCCACCTAGCAGAGAATTACAGCACCCTCCACCCCATCAGCCCCAGGGGTCATGGGCCCTGCTTAGGGCAGCCAAAAGCCAGGCCAGCTGAGCCCTGATGAGCAGACACAGGTGCAGGAAGAGAGGCGCCAGGGCAGACAGGAGCCAGCTCGGCGCTCCCCTCAGGAAGTTTGGCTACTGACCAGGCTCTGGGGAGACTGAACATTTCCCACGGAATAAGAATCACCTCAGTCTATACCTGAGGACGAGGGGGAGTCAGGCAGGACCAGGCAAGAGGATGGCGGTAGGAAGGTATGGTGTTACCCCACGCCCGAGGGTGACAGATGTCCTGAGGGCAATTCCGAAGGGAGGGCATTCCAGATAGTCCTACGGCTTGTCCTGGCCGATCTGGCCCCAGCAGCTCTTGGATGTCATTCTGGTGTCCTTGCTCACACCAGCTTCCATGAGCTTCTGGACACAGCTCCGGTCCTCCCTGGCAGGCATCATCTCTGCAGGCATGAGGCCTGCCCTTCTGTCTCGGGGTCTGTAGTGGCCCGACCTGGGAGCTCCTTGCTGCAGAGTAATGGCCCCCTTCTCTGTAGATGGTGAGAAGCATCTGGGGGAGCCCTGGTGTGGGCGTGTCTTGCCGTAGGGGAGCTCTGGTGTGGGGTGTTCTACTGTAGGGGAGCCCTGGTGTGGAGGTGTCCTGCTGTGGGGGATCCCTGTGGGCAGTCCACTAGGACAACAGAGGCATTGCAAAATTCACCCTGAATGGAGACACACTGGTAACTGCTATCTTCTCTGAAATGCTTCCCAGCTAAGATGGACTGATGGATGGTCAGGGGGACTGACATGTGACACAGCAACTTGAACAAATGCTAAGGTAGAACCTCAGTGGTGGCTACGTGGGTGCTCACTGTAGAACTCTTCAGATGTCTATAAAAAAAAAGTGTCTGGGATAGCATTGACCTGAACGTGAAGCCCGAAGGTGTCCATAAAGGTGATTTTCTGTAGATGGGCCCAGCTGGGCAGCTCAGCTTGCTCTCAGGAGTCCCCTCTTAGCCTAGAAAGTGTTTTCTTTTGCTCTGTTGTTTTTTACCCTTTGTTCAACCCAAATCAAAGGCAACAACGTATTCCTGTCATCAGTAGAGGCTCCCTGCAGCCATGAATTTCGGGATATGGGATGTGTATTTTGAGAAAGCCCAAGTGGTTCCAAGATACCCCAGTGGGAGCCAGGAAAGCAGGCTGGACTTTGCAAACCAGACAACGTGGCTTCCTGGCAGTCTATGGGTTGTTTCTCTACTATCCTTGCCTCGTCTCGGCAGATTTGGGGGTGAGGGGAGGCTACTCTGGGCATAGGGTGGTCAGTGTTTAAGAAAGTAGTACAATCCCTGGGGCTGAAAGAGCGGGTCCACAGTGGGGGCTCACCTGCTCTCCCTGCTATCACTAGGTTAGCACACAGGCTTCCTGGCCTGCCCTGTAGAGCCCACTTGGGAATGGGCTGGAGACTGGTGACTGCAGGTGGCCCTGGTTTGGATAAAAGTTCCTTGTGAAGGGCCTGGTAGGAGGCTTCCCTCCATCTCTGGGAGCCTGGGGCCTGGCCAGAGGCCCACCCAGACCTGGCACCCAGGGTGTGGGACTTTCCCTAGGTCCTTTCTGGACTCCTTCTAGGATGGTCCCCCAGGCCGGGGCCAGAAAGTGGCTTCTGCCAGCATTAGAAGCCAGCCTTGTCCCTGGGTGTAGACATGGAAGTAACTGGGGTGTGCCCAGAGAAGCCAGGAAAGAAAGCTGGCTGGTGGGCATGTTGTGGAAGAAAAGCCAAGGGATATCCTCTAGTTACAACTTGGTGGGGGGTGGCTCCCAGAGGCTCCTCTTTCTTATGATGTCACTGGGGGCGAGGCCTTTATGGCATTCCACATGATGTCATTGGGGGGGCCTCCACATGATGTCATGGGGATCAAGTCATAAAGTCATTCTTTGTGTTATCAGTAGAGGGTAGGGCTTGCATGGTATTTCATGTGGTGTCATGGGGAGAGGGTGCTTGGGGTAAAGCCAGTCTCCATGATATTCTATGAGACAGCTTTAGAAGTGGAGCTTGATCACATTCCATGTAATGTCCCTAGGGGCCAGCCATCAAGTTATACACCTAGGCCCTCCAGAATTTGCATTTCCAGTGACATCACTGCAGGGGGGACCACGACCAAATTCAGCGTGCTAGTACTGAGGGCCAGGCAGGCAGAATTTGGCTTTGTGCACGATGTCTTTGGGAGTATAGTCTGAGCCATCGTGACATCCCACAGGATGTCCCACACTGGGAGTGTGGCCTTCCTGACATCAGATTGGGTATTCTTGGTGTGTCGCAGCTATCACATTCTGTATGATCATGCCATGTAGGGTAGGGTCCCCCAGACTCTAACATTCTGTGCTATCATGAGTGTGCAGGATTTGGAATGTGGGCCCCATACCTGCACTCCCCACCCCCCACCTTTCTGGAAGTGTGAAGCCAACCACAGAGCACTGGACCCTGCCCCATGTCCCAACTGATCTTGCTTCCCCAGGCTGAGCTGATGGCTTTCCCAGCTCTCTGCCTTCCTGCCACGGGAGCACTAGGCACTTGTCCTGGGATGCTTTTGTGAGGGTGTATTTGTCTTGCCTACTCGCCTGGCAGAGTCTCTGTGGTGATGCTCAATCTTAGCTCTTACATATACCCTCTCTCCTGGAGCCTGCAAAGTGCTCCATGGGTTTTGAGGATACAGATGTTATAGTAGGCTAACTGGTGTAACAAACAGCCCCCAAATCTCAATGGCTTAGAATAGCAGAAGCTTATTTCTCACTCATGCAACATCTGATGCAGTACTTCTTAACGATCTCTCCTCCCAGCAGTGACTCTAGGATTCAGGTCCCTCTGTTGGTGGCTCAGCTGTCCTCTTCTGGGTCCTCTGCATCCAATCAATTGACAAGCAGAGAGAGTGCAGGATGGCAAGCATGGTTGCTAGGGGCAGGCCTAGAAGTGGCATACGTTGCTTCCACCCACATTCCCCTAGCCCGAGCTAGTATCATGGTTGCATTCAGACACAGAGCACTAGGAAATGAGGTAGCCGTGTGCCAGGAAGAGGAATCAGGCTTGGTGAGCAGTGGGTACTGGTCGCAGTGAGTGAAAGAGGAAATGGCGGGCCTCTACTGCATGATCCCAGGCGACTCTTCCCCGAGGACTGGCCCATCCTCAGGCCCACCCTTCGTATGTTCATCCCCCATCTGTCAATTCTCTCAGATCACACCGGGCAGCAAGGCCGCCCAGTCCCAGCTCAGCCAGGGTGACCTCGTGGTGGCCATTGACGGCATCAACACAGACACCATGACCCACCTGGAAGCCCAGAACAAGATCAAGTCTGCCAGCTACAACCTGAGTCTCACGCTGCAGAAGTAGGTGGGAGCTCTCCAGAGCAGGGGGTGGAGCCTGGGGTGTGGGCATCAGGGGCTCGAGAGAGGGGCTGTCTGACAGCAGTCACATGGGCCCAGCCTGTGCTACAGGACTGCACAGGAAAGTAAGGACAGCCTCTGGACCAGAAGGACAGGCCCGAGCCACCATCAAACACCTGCCACATCTGTGCCTCACTTCACAGATGAGGTTTGAGGGTGCGGTGAGGGTGGTCATACTGCTGCCAGCATTTGGGCAGTCAGGCCTGAAAGTCAGGGTCTTCCCTGCCTTCTCTTCACCCCAGACGGCCTCCCAAGGACCTAACAGAGGCTCATGGGTGCAAAGTGCTTAAGGGCCATGATTTCTCCAACCCGGTCAGGCCCAGTGCCTTTCTGGGGTCTCCCAGTTCATGGCGTGTCCTCAGGCTCTCTGACCTCTCCTGTCACCAACTCTGCCCTGGCAGGAGCTCCTGGTTCTGGTCCTAGCAGCAATTGTCTTCACTTGGTGCCCTTTCTGGTTTTTCCAGGTCGAAGCGCCCCGTCCCCATCTCCACAACAGCACCCCCGGTCCAGTCCCCTCTGCCGGTGATCCCCCACCAGAAGGTAGGTGCTGACTGGCGGCGGCAGGCTCCACTCTCCGCTGTGGTCCTGTGGTGGAGCCCCTGATCTGCCTGCCTGACCCTTGCCCCATGGGGGCAAGGTGGTGGGATCAGCCCTGCCCCTACCCCTGCCCCTGCCATGGCTGACCCTGAGGGAGGTGGGGCAGGCCTCCAGGGAGAGGCATCCGAGCCCCCATGAAATACCAAGCTACCGAGTTTGGGGGGGCTAGCCAACACCCCGGATCTTGTGGCTGGGCCGGTGGGAAACCAGCTTAGGAAGTGGTGTTCGCAGGAGAGGGATCATCCTTCCAACTAGGTGGGGACAAGTGTCCGGGAGGCTCAGACCCTCATTTTCCTGAGGGTGCTGGGAGGGGGGATGACTGGGGCATGATGCTAGAGGCCCCAGTCTGAGTCAGCCACCCCAGGCTTGAAGGGACCTGCTGCCCCTCAGAGCTTCTCCTCTGACATAGGATCTCTGTTTCTGGTTTCCACTTGCCCTCCTGACTACACGCCCCATTAGCCCACTCAGAAGTGCTAGTGGCAGCCAAACAGCGGGTACAAGGTGGGCACACCTCACCACCGTGACTGCCACCCCTTCCCAGCTCCCTGTAAGCAGATAAACCCCTTGGGCCCAAGCAACTTGGCCCAGAGCATGAGAGGCCCGCCTCACCCGTCCTGCAGGGACCCACTCCCCACCTGTCCCTGAATGACCTCAGACTGACCCCTGTCTGCCCAGTGGGGCAGAGTGGGCGATAGGCAGGGTTGGGGCAGGGGACAGGAAGAGGCTAACCCAGAGTCTGGGGTGGGTGACAGATTGGGGAACTGAGCAGAGGGCTACTTGGGAAAAGTGGCAGAGGTGGCCTGTGGGAACCAAATGTCAGCCCCCGGATACCCTCCTGCACCTCCACCCTGCCTGTCCACCGCCAGCCCTGGGGGCCCTCTCACTGGCCATGTGGGGGCATCTCAACATGGGGTCAGTGGAGCAGGCCAGGCTGTGCCCACCGCCATCAGGAGGCCAGGAAGCACCACCAGGTTCTTCCACTCAGGGGAATAGGGAGCAGACAGAGTATGGAGGGAGTTGCCCCCAACCAGCAGAGACCCACCCCCCCTTTCCTCCAGCCCTGTAAGCAGGCTGGCTTGGCCTGGCCTTCTGTGTGGGGCTTGCACTTTGTCCAAGTGGGTGTTAGCCTCAGGGCCAGGGACTGTATGCCTCCCTCCCTCCCTCGCCACCCTCCCCTCGGCCAAACGCTTCCCTTTCAGGAATCTGGGCGGCCCCTCTTGAGCTCTGTGCAGCGGGCTGCAGGCTGCGGGGTGGTAGGCTGCTGGGCGCTTGCACTAACACCTCTGTTTCAGGTCCATGCAGACGCACTGGGACACGTGTGGCCTCTAACTGCTCTCTTCTCTCTCCCCTGCATGGCGCTGCCCTGTGCCAGGACCCTGCTCGGGACACGAACGGCAGCCTGGCGGCGCTCAGCCCCAACCCTGAGGCGAGGGCCAGCCCGGGCACCCCGGGCACCCCGGAGCTCAGGCAGACCTTTAGCTCCTCCTTCTCCCAGACCTCCGTCTTCTCCTCACACACAGAGGCCTCTGACCCCGGCCCTCCATGGGGCAGCCCACAGGCCAAGGCCAGCCTGGAGGGAGCCCTGGACTCACTCAGCCCGAAAGTCCCACAGGGCTCGAGCCAGCCAAGGCAGTATAACAACCCCATTGGCCTGTACTCGGCAGAGACCCTGAGGGAGATGGCTCAGATGTATCAGATGAGCCTCCGAGGGAAGGCCTCAGGTGCTGGACTCCCAGGAGGGTAGGTAACGGGTGCGCAGCTCTCCGCTGGTGGTCTGGGGCCACCGGGGTCCTCAGTGCTCACAGAGGCCTGGCCGGGCGATCAGAGCGAGGAGCTGGCCTCAATCGGCTCATGAGGCGGCACAAGCTGAGAGCGATACAAGTAATGATGCCGTTGGTATATTTGCCATGAGCTGGATGTGTCATTGCTTTACACAGCCTGGCGTGACATGTTGGCTCCTGCAGAGGGGGGACCTGAGGCTCAGAGAAGGTTAAGTCGAAGTCCAGCTGTCCAGCTTCTAAGTGGCTGAGCAAAGCCCGAATGTGAGACACTGACTCTCAAAACGTTCACACCAGCCCGTTTCCCAGGATGGGATGAAGCCTGCTCCCTCTAGGAACTCTGGAGCAAGCCTCAGGCTGGTGGCCTCTAGGAGCCCTGAGGCAGGAGCAGGGAAGAACTAGAGAGGTGGGAAGGCAAGTTCCTTAAGGCTGGGAGTGGTCTGGGCAGGCTGCCTGGAGAAGGGAGCACTTGAGCTGGGTGCAGAAGATTCAGCGATGGAGTGAGTGTCAGGGGCTTGTAGGACTGACCCTCGATAGAACAAGGCAAGGAAGCAGGACCGGGAGGAGAAAGGGGCTGTGCAGGAGAATAGTAGCCTAATCTCCACCCCCTGAGCTCTAGCCGATGGACTCTGCAAGTGTAGGAGCTAAAAGAACCTACAGTCGGGGTGGGCATCACGGAGAGGCCGAGGGGAGGGAGCCCCCAAGCTGAGCACGTCCTAGCTTCTAAGCCCTTCATGCTTGTTATATCTCATTCTAACTTTGCCCATGTGTTTGGTATAATTGTCTTCTCCTGCTCTAGAGGCAGAGCAGGCTGAGGCAAGGCGATAGGGGCGAGTGCTTAGGGGTTCAGGGCTCCTCCTCTGTATAGGGACATGAGCCTGTCCATGTCTCAGGGTTACTGGGAGGATGGAAAGAGACCCCACATGCGCAGCACTGAGCTCTGTTCTGGAACACTTGCCGTGTGCTACCTGAAGCTGTTGCCCTTGTGAGTCAGAATTAGAACCCGAGTCAGTCTGACCCACGCCCATGCCCTCCCACTGCTCTTGCTACAGAAGGTACCTGTGCCCCACCAGTTCACTGCTCCCCTCCGTTTCCCAGTTTCCCCATACCCTTCAGCTCTTCCTGGGATCCTGAGTGAAGCTGGCCTTGGATGTTTCACAGGCCGGGCACCTGGATCCAGGCTTCCTTGGACCAAACTGGCAAAGTCATAAACTCCTGGGCTTTTTCCAGCAAGAGGCTTCTGCCAGAAAACTCAAGGAATGGCAGAGTAGAAATGACGTCCTTCTGGTAGCTTTCTCTGGTCCTCTCTAGGATTGGCTCCTGGCAGGGAAGTCAGCCTCTGACAGATTGAGACCTCCATGAGGGCCACCATCAGTGACAGTAATGTCTCCCCTTACTGAGCCCTCAGTCTGGACTTGGAGCCCTAAGGCAGTCTTGTTCTTTATGTAACACACTCTCTCAGCAAATTCAGAGTTGGGTATCACTTTCCCCATTAAAAAAAATTTTTTTAATGTTTTATTTATTTTTGAGACAGAGAGAGACAGGGCATGAGCAAGGGAGGGGCAGAGAGAGAGCGAGACACAGAATCTGAAACGGGCTCCAGGCTCTGAGCTGTCAGCACAGAGCCTTACGCGGGGCTCAAACTCACGAACCGTGAGATCATGACCTGAGCCAAAGTCAGACGCTTAACCGACTGAGCCACCCAGGCACCCCTCCCCATTTTATAGCTGGAAAATAGAAGGCCAGAGTGGGTAATCTGCTCAAGGTCACACACAGCTCATGAGTGGCAGATGGGGCTGGTACCCAGGTCAGCATGACTCCTGGTGGTAGGGACCTAACTACCTGCCCAGGAAAGTCAAAGGCCAGTCCCACCCCTGCTTCCCATGGTTCCAGTGGTGCTTTCCTGTTGGTGCAGAACCTGACAAGGGTTAAATTGTTACTTGAACAGCAGGTCAACAGTTTCTCCAAGGTAGACAGACTGGGGGAAGGAGTGCAGTGTTTCATCCACAGTAGAGGCTGATGCCGTGGTCTCTGGGCAGTGCTGGCTGGAAGGGTGGAGCCTCTGACCTGGGCTAGCCAAGCCAGCCTCTGATGGGCTGAGGCCACCACCTTTGCTGAGTGTCTGAGTGCTCGAAAGTGACAGGGTTGGCAAATGCTAATCCTCACATCCATCTCTTGTACCCCAAACCCATGCTGAGGGCTTTACACTCAGGATTCTGTTTAATCCGCACAGCTCGCCCATACGGTGGGCACCACCATCTCGATTTTGTGAATGAGGACACTGAGGCTGAGGCGGGTGGGGAACAGTGCAGAGTCACAGTGCTAAGAAGATGCAGGGTCAGGATTTGAACTCTGTCCTGCCTGGCTCCAAAAGGAAGCTCCTTCCCCTCCTCTCTGGGCAGCTTGCGATGTGATTTCTTGGCAGCTTGAATCCTCTTGGGAGGAGTGGAGAGAACAAAGGCTGGGCTGGAGCATCCCTGCAGCACCACCCCACCCACCCCGCCCGCCTTCTCATCCTCTGTGAGCTGGCCCTGAAGGGCAGTATCCCGCAAGTCACTAAATGCAAGGGCCCCTGGGCAGGTCTTACATCTTTGATTTATTCTCCCCAAGACCTGGGTGCTGGCTCCTCTCTGAGCTGTCTGCTGCAGGCCTCTCAGCCCCCAAATCTTCAGGAGGAAGCGAAGCAGGGGGCGGGAGTCAATGCCAAAGAAGGTGCCGGCTACCAGTTGCCGGGACAGGGAAGGGCAGAGGCAGCACACCCAGACTAATTGACACGTGCTGCCCCCCCCCGCCCCCACCCTGTGCCTCCATGCCAACACTGCCCTCTGTAGGGGGCACTGGGCTGGCCAGGGCAAGAGCTGACCCTGCAGCTGTCGGCACTGGCCAGAAATGGAGAAGGGATAGAAGACCTTTCCTAATATAGCTCCTCTCATCGCTGTTTGAAGCTAGAGGACAGAGGGAATTTTATCAGTTCTGAGACAGTGTAGGGCCTGGGGCTAGAGGCCCTCTGGCTTTGGCCTGGTTCCCCTCAGTGGTGGCCAAGGAATGACTGGGGTCAGGCAAGTTGGGGCCCAGGTTCTGGCAGCCAGAGCCCGGAGTGGTCAGATCTGGGATGGCGGCAGTGTTTGGGGGCAGGTACACCCCTCTCTGCACTCTTTCCTCTCTTCTGACGGGGCCATTGGTGCTGTCAGGGTCGGCCCTGCAAGGAATTTGCATTTAAGGAAACCTAATGCAGGCAATGCCTGCCCCAAGAAGATGATGCTCCAGGAGGCTCGCTCTAGACAAAAGTGAGGGTGGAGTTCATCTTGTGTCCAAGCTGCCTTGGCTGGGGCCCTACCTGCAATTAGCCTTGGACCCGTACTTCTCCTGAGCCTTCGCGTTCCTCCATCCTGCCTCAGTGACCTTGCACAGGGCCTTTAGGGGCCAGGACTGCCTGCCCCTCCTCTGGGAGGGAGAGTACATCCCGGGGCAGGGGGGGTGTGGATAACCCCGCCGTACTGCCAGTCCTGCTCAGGGAACAGAACTTCCAGAGCTGGTCCCCATTAATCAAGGGCAAGTCCAGAGCTGCTGTCTGGCTGGGAGGCACGTCCGGCCTTGACTCTGCCTGGAGCAGTCACAGCTGGTCCTGTCTCCCTCTCCATCTTCCTCTCTCGGGCTCTCCAGCCGGGCTGTATGTGGCTGAGTCACATACATGGTACGCAAGCATCCACGAAGATGGACTAGAAAACTCTTATCCCTGGCGGAGCTTCAGGTGCTGTGAACCTACTGAGGGGGAAACACTGCCATCAGCACCTCTGACCCAGACTCACAGGCCATGACCCTGACTCTGAGCTCTGCCACCTCTCCTTGGCGCTCTCCTCACCCAATGCCAGTCAGGGCTGGTGCGGCCCCCACGACGGCCGGTCTGAGGATGGTCCCTGCGCTCAGAGCCCCTGGCGGGACCTCATGCTGATAGTCCTGTCTTCTTTGCTCTTTCTCTCCTCCCCAGGTGGTAGCCAACTCTCCAGCCAAGTTAGTATCAAAGGAAAGCATGCGCGTGCGCTTGTGTGCCTGTCCTCGCATGCGTCCGCGTGTCAGTTAGCCTGGACAGCGTGCGCCTGTGTCAGCATGGGTACATGCGTGTGCATGTGTGAGTGGGGGTGCATTCGCGTCCCTGAGCGAGCCTGCATGTGTGTGGAGCTACAAGTGTGGAGTGGAGGCCTCGGGGAGGGGTGCTAGGGCTCTGTCTGATGTGCCCTTTCCATTCCCCATTTCCTGCTGCAGCTGCTTAAGACCAGCAGGCCGGCTCAGGGGTGCGGGGTGCGGGGGGTGGAGCGTGTGCCGAGCTGATGCTGGGTTCCACGTGAACCTGAAGACAGTTCTGTCCTGACGGGACTCGCAGAAGGGCTGCGCCTGACCTTCTTTGCCCCAGGAGTGCATTCATCTGTTGGAGGGAAAAGCCTCGATTGGCAGAGACTGGCGGCCACACAGCTAGTTGGACTAGAGGGGGACTGAACAGACTGAGTCCTGTTCCAAGGAAGAAGCACTTGCCCTGAAGCATCTGGAGGATCAGAGCCCTGGGCAACTGAGAGGGTAGCCAGCAGGACGAGCCCCTTCGTGGAGGAACCTTACTCAGAATCCCCATGGGTGCCCAGTGGGGCTGCTTTTCGCCTTTGGGGCATTCTGGACCCTGCTTGGGCTGCCGCTGCCTTTCACGCGTGGCCCAGCTCCTGTCGCCTACCCCCAACCCCTTTTGTCTCTGCTTCCTTGCTGATGTGGTGAGAGAGCTTTCAATGCCTGGCGCCCCCTGCTGACCCTGAGAAGTGGCTCAGGCTGAGCTGAGAACTCCCAGGAACTGGGAAACCCAAAATGGGCAAGGAAAACCTTCTGCAAAGGGCTTTGGGGAGGGTCCTGAGGATTTTCCCTACCAGACCCAGCTGTCTGCAGTTCAGGGGGCTTGGGTAACTTACCTGGGATCAGGCCTTGGGAGGTCTCTCTACCACCAGCCCTCACCTTGACCTCCTGTGTAACACCACCTGTTGCCCTTTTCTCCTTCTACCTCCCTTCCCCTTCTTCCTCTGCTCCCCCTGCTGCCCTCCCCCAGCGCCGACTACCAGGAACGGTTCAACCCCAGTGCCTTGAAGGACTCTGCCCTGTCCACCCACAAGCCCATCGAGGTGAAGGGGCTGGGCGGCAAGGCCACCATCATCCATGCGCAGTACAACACACCCATCAGCATGTACTCCCAGGATGCCATCATGGACGCCATTGCTGGACAGGCCCAGGCCCAGGGCAGTGACTTCAGTGGGTAAGCGCCTCCCCTCCTCCACAGTTGCTCATCGTTCACCGCCTACACCACTGGCTGGGCCTCCTCACTAGTGGAGGCCAAGGTACCAGGCTGCCGGGCGCCATCAGAGACTTTAGGCATCGGGACCAGCTTTCCTCCCTCGCCTTGGGCCTCTCAGGGCACAGCTGTTCGAAGGGAGCCAGACTTTGCCAGGGCCCTTCCAGAACACGGTGTTCTCTCTTCAGAATCAGTCTCACAGTCAGCTTTAGAAGGTTGGAGGATTGAAGAATATGGTGGTTGCTCCGAGTGCTTTTCAAAGCCTCTGCATTTTCCCAGGCTCCACAAGGGGGTCAGCTTAGAAAGAGACTTCTCGAATCCCGGGCCACATTCTGGATAAACCAGTCTTCTCACAAACTAAGCCATTCTTTGGGGGAAGTTGCTGCGTTCTTCCAATGATGAGAGCAATGCAAATATGTGACCAGGTTTCTTGTTTGGGAAGGGGCCTCTGGACCAACCATCCAAGGTGCTGTTGGCAGTCAGCCCCACTGCAGAGCCTGGGAAGCACCCAGGCCCTCCCGTTTGTTCCAGGGAAGCCCAGTCTCAGGGCAATGGGATTTAGGACATCCTTGTTTCCTGGAATTTGCCTGTTAGCAATGGTTGAGGAACTTGAGTGTTGAATAGGGAAAGAGTTGGCTGAAAATCATTTGTGGAAAAAACTGCTAATAGTGCAAACATTAATAAGAAAGTCTCTTTCTTTCTCTGTCTCTTTTAGTGTCTCTCTCTCCCTGTATCTGTCTTTTTCTGTGTGTGTGTCTCTCTCTCTTTATCTCTGCCTTCCTCTCTGTCTCTGTTTCTTTCTCTCTCTCTATCTGCTCCCTGTCTGTCTGTCTGTCTGTCTCTCTCTCACACACACACACATGCACACTGTTTTCTATTTGAGAATATCATTGCTGTTGACTTTCAGAATTGACTGATTATCTCTTTGGGCAACATCTTATCCCCAAGTCAGGATCTCAAGCAACTCAAGGCAAGAAATCTTTTCTTTTTTTAATTAAAAATTTTTAATCTTTTTTTAATTAAAATTTTTAATTAAAAAAATAAACATTTATTTATTTTTGAGAGTGAGAGAGACAGAGTACGAGCAGGAGAGGGGCAGAGAGAGAGAGGGAGACACAGAATCTGAAGCAGGCTCCAGGCTCTGAGCTGTCAGCACAGGGCCCGACGTGGGGCTCGAACTCACAGATCTCAAGGCAAGAAATCTTAAAACGATGGTTGTACTTTTTTTCTGAAGCTAGGAAAAACAGATGTTGTCAGAGGGGTAAAGTGGTTTAAAAGTTCCAGATAACTCCTATAGTGTTTGACCTTGGCAGAATCCAGCCCTTGCGGCCATGACGTACGTACACATTATAAGGGCAGGCTCCAGGGGCCAAAGGGATGGAGTGTTGTGTGGGGGTTTGGGGACCCCCCAAAGGGACACAGTGCTTCCTTTGGGCCACCACCAGGGGGCAGAGGTTCCTTGCCCTGGAGCCATGAGTCTGAAACCAGCCAGGCTCAGAGCTATCGCTCTTTTGCACAACTCTGGACAGTGCTGATTTATTTAATCCCACCATTCAAAGCAGAAACTATGACCACGCAAGTTTTAAAAACACAACCATTAGCTCATATGTACCCAGGAAAACAAGGCTGCTCGACTAAGCCAAAAAGTTAACAGGGATTTCCTGTTAACATTTGTTTGCCATGTGTGTCCTTGCTGCGCTCTTAAAAGCGGTAACGTCGCAAACGTCACCAAAGGGAAGTTCAGTGGAAAATAATGGAAGAACTGCTCTTCGCTAAGTTTATATTTTCTGCACCTTGGGAAAAAGACTGCTCTCATTTGGTTTTACCACTAGGGCACCCATGATTTATTTTAACGTGATGCACCATTGATCTAATCCAGGCTTCTCAGAGTACCTCCCCTACCTTCCTCCTCTCCCCTCCCCTCCCTCCCTTTCCCTTCCCTTGTGTGCCTGGGAAGCAACATGCTTTCCCCTTCCTTCTAACTTGGTCCTGCCGGGCTGATGCTACCATGGTACCGGTGGGTAAGAGCTAGCCCTCTGTGCCATAAGGTACTCCGTTTCTGCTGTTAATGCCCACGATTCCTTCCTCACTGACAGTTTTCTTTTTGTCTCTTTCTCTTCCTCCTTTATCTGCCCCACTCCCGTAACTCATTTCTGACCCTAACCCTGCTCCCTTGCGTGTGCGCCGCCCCTCTGCCATCCCCTGATGGACACACACTCACTGCTGGGCTTTCTTCTGCTTGGCAGGGCATCGCCGCTGGCGTAAGTAGACCCCACAGTGTCTGTTCCGTCGTCGTCGTCGTCATCGTCGTCTGTCTGGTTGAGGGATGGTGTGTGGGTTTGGTGGGATATGCCTGAGGACAGTGGTTCTGTCCATGTTCTTCCTCACACCCACCTCACAGCCAAACGACATGCTCAGCAGCCTATGCAGGCAAGTGCTTTAGGGCTTGGCCTCAACTAATGTCACTGTGGACACAGAAATCAGAGTGATGACATCACCCCACCTCCCTTGCACCCAAGGCTGGAAGCGTATCTCTGTGCTGTGCTTTGCGGGGGCTCCCGGTAGCCTTTCCTGTCTGCACTGGGACAGCATAGACCTGAATGTCTGAATGCACACTGGACCATTATTCAGGGAAGAGGGCAATGAGGGGGCCCTTGGAAGCCATTTCCTAGGACCCTCACGGGAGGTGGATCTGGAGGAGCCAGCACCTGCCAGTACCACCTGTGGGAGGTGAAAGATGAGTCAGTTTTGGGGAGCAGCGTACAGTGGAATTAAGTGTCCAGAGGTGACCTGAATGTTGTGACCGCGGAATGTTTTCGGTGGCAAGAAGACCATACTGGGAGTGGCTCCAGAGTAACCCCAGATCCAGGGTCCCAGGACTATAGGGCCTATACATATTCTCCCTGAAGCCCGGAGTCTCAAAAGGAATGGGAATTCCTTCATCTGACCCCCAGTATCTGTCGTGGCAGCAACACAAGTCCCTGGTCTTTGCACAGCATTGTGGGAAATGGTGCCAATAATGTGAGTCCCAGAGGACTCACTACTGGGAGCTTTCTCGAGCCCTTGGAGCTGTGGAAGGAACAGGGGAGCGCCTCCAGGGCATGTTCTGGAGAAATGGCAGCAAACACCTTCCGTCTGCTTTCTGGACCACAAAGCTGTGTAGCGAGGCTCAAGGGCAGGACCTGGGCTTGGGTCTATACTTTCTCTCTCCCATAGCACAATCCACACTTCCTCCTTCCCTTCTGGCAGACCAAGGAGTCCTGGTTGTGCGTTCCTACTGCACCTCTCACCCAGAGGTAGCGGATCCTGCCTCTGCTTTGGGAGCCCTTGGGACTCCTCCTTATGCCAGAAATGGCTTCTCCCAGTGAGACCCCACTCTCTTCTCTGCTCTGTGGGCAGCTCCAGGATCCTCCCTGCTGGACCCCAGAGGGATCCGCTGGTCTTCCCCATCTGATCCCAGGCTGCCAGTACCTGTAGCTCTCCAGGGCAAGGCAGAGCCTTCAGGGCAGTTGGGGTGGGGGCTCTGCCCCAGTCTTGGCCACCTTTCATCACCTTCCTCCTCTCTGTTCTCAGAGCATTCTCTGAGCCAGACACTGGGGACCAAGCCTAGGAAAGCAGGCCAATGCTTGCATTTAGCTCCTTGCAGAGAGGCTACAAGACATGGGCACTGGAGAGGTCCCTCTCCTAGCCAGCTGGCCCTCTGGAAGGCAGGCAGAGGCAGTGGACAGAGTAAGTGTCTGAGCTGGGCCATGTTTCCAGGCATGGAGCATCTGGGGTGCACAAGGCCCCAGTGGGCAGAAGTGGCCTTTCTGAGCCCACATCACTGCAGTTTGATGGAAAGGACAGTGGGTGGGGAGCCAGGAAGCTTGAGTTCTGACTCAGCAAGGCCCCTACACCTGGAGCTAGCCGGTCAGCCGCTCTGGACCTCAGTTTCAGCATCTGTAAGAGGAGAGTGCTGGGCCACTGGTCCATAGGGTAGAGAGCCAGGCTGTGCTGGCTGAGAACTCATCCCAAGTCCACCCTGATTCCTGGGAGGGTAGGTTGGACCCTCCCTGGGAGGGTAGGTTGGAGGGTCCAGAACCCTCCAGCCCTTGCCGGCCAGGGTGAGTGGGTACCCCACAACCTGCCTTGCAGTCTGGTTAAGGCTAGGAGGCACTGGACCCAAGAGATTCTGTGGTCCCTTGTGGCTCTGCTGTAGGATTCATTCATTTAAGTAAGTTTTGAGCACCTGCTGTGTGCAAGACACTGGGAGTCTGAAGGAAGGTCACCAGGTTCCCCTCCAAAGGCTGCACTGCCCTGGAGCAGAGGAAGAATGATCCTTCCTTTAGATCTTCCCCCAGGACCCCAGGCCAGAACCACCTTGCCTCCCCCATCTGCGGGCAGTTCCAGACCACACAAGCCTGGTTGCCTTGTTTCTCACACCACCTCTCCACCAAGCCTGCCCATTTTTGCTGAGCAGAAGTCCCCAGTCCACTTTTAGGGCAGGCTTGGCATTGGGGGCTCGCTGTTGGGGTCCAAAGGTACGAGGAGGACAAGGAACTGACCCTGAAGAAACCTGAGTCCCCCGAATGGTCTGTTGTCACCCTGCCCCAAACTCAGGAGCTGTTCAGGGAGGTTGAAATTATTTCAAAAGACCTATTCTGCCTCCTATTTCCTTAAAGGAGATCCCAAGGGGGTGGGGCCTGGGATGTGGATGGGTCTTCAGGCCTGTGCCTAGAGTTAGCCCGGGGTGGGGCCCGAGGTTTGCCAAGAGGGATCTCAGAGGAATCACCGTCTCGCTTTGGCCACCCTGAGCACTGAGGACCCAGGCCAAGCCCTTGTCTCAGGCTTTCAGATGGCAGTGGGTAAAGGGCATGGGGGAGGGGGGTTGAGGCAAGTAGGGGCCACCAACCGGTGTGCCGGGTGTGGGGGTGCGAGCAGATGAGCCATGGGGGTAGTGGAGGACAGGAGCAGGGTTCCAGCCTAGCCCTCACTCACGGCCTCTTTCTGCCTTGCAGGAGCCTTCCTATTAAAGACCTTACGGTGGACAGTGCCTCTCCCGTGTACCAGGCGGTGATTAAGAACCAGAACAAGCCAGAAGATGAGGCTGATGAGTGGGCTCGCCGCTCCTCCAACCTGCAGTCTCGCTCCTTCCGCATCCTGGCCCAGATGACAGGGACGGAATACAGTAAGTGAGGCCAGGGTTGGAGCATGAGAGATGCTGAGGGGCCCTGAGGGCCCTGTCCCACAGTCCTAAGGCCCACAGAAGCCAGGGAGTCAAGCCCCCTGACCCTTGAAGATGAGCTGCTTTCCACAGAGAGCTAGCGATGTGCTGAGCCCCTCTGGGCCCCTCGGGGCAGGTTACTGAGTGACACCGGCCTTCTGCCCAGCTCCCTGACTCCAACATTAGGCCATACGTGTGCCAGGTGGCTTGTGGGCAAAATGATGGCCCAGAGCTGGGATAAGAGGACCTCAGAGGTCTCCCTCCCAACTGTACCCTTTCCTCTGTGTCCCCCTTCTCCCCCTGCCCTCTGCCCAGCACACAGCATTTCCCTGCCACCATTTTCAGGTTAGGGGCAGTAAATTGTTCCGTTATTGGAGGGGACTCAACGTCCATAGCTCTGGAGGGTTTTCTTCCTATGTTTCCTGAGTCCTCCTGATCAGCAATTTTCTACCCACAGTGCAAGATCCTGACGAAGAAGCTTTGCGAAGGTCAAGGTAAGTGCCTGGACTCAGGCTCAGTGGCCTTGTCCCTCCTAACCCAATCCCTCCCCAGGCAGCCCCTAGGTCACATGAATCATGGAAGGAACCTCTCAAGTTCATGTATTTGGAAGCTCCTGGCCCCTAAAGGGCCCCAGCAGATGCTGGCTTGGGGCCTTCGTCCCAGGTCGCTGAGGTAGGTGCCTGGAGCTGTCTCTAACCCCTGGGCCCAGGCTGCAGGAGTAAGGATTCTGGGCTCTCCTGGCTCTGTCCCTGGGCAGAGGCAGGGCTGCTTTGGCCTTTGCTGGGCTATTGAGAATGAGGGCATCTCTCCCTGTGAGGGCACCGGGCTGGCTGCCTTGCCTGCCCCACTCATCTCAGGGTCTGTCCCCTGTGAGTCTGGAGGCTAGGCACTGGAAAGCAGGCACGGGGAGGGCTGTGCTGGGCATGGGCATCTGACCTCGGGATCCACCTGTCCAGACCTATGCTAATGTAGTAGTTCCATAAATCGCTCAAAGCACAATAGCTCTGCTAGGAAGGACAAGCCTGGGCGTGAGAAGAGCTTCTGCAAGGCGAAGTGTCTCAGGGTCTGGTCTCCCACCAGTGGCAGGCCTGGGACCACAACTGCTAACCTACCACCTGCATCCTGCCAGGTGCTCATGAGCCTGGGCATGAGAGGGGCACGCTGCCCTGGAACCCACTGGAACCTGCTGGGGCCTTCCATGGTGAGGCATGGAGCCCCTGAGGATTGTGTTTCTACTTCCGGCAGCAAATGTTGTGCATGCTCTTCTTGGGAGAGTCTGCTTTGGGCCAGCACGTCCTTGGGCGGCCTCTCCGCACGGGACTGGGGCTCAGAGGTGCTCTTTTACCTGGGGCCAAGCTTTCTATACTTGCTAATCAGCATGTAGTGATCACAGGATCGTGTGGAGAGTGGAGCTCTGGGGTCAGCTCAGAGTTGATGTAGATTTCACTTTTGAACCTATATTTTTGCCAATCTAAGCTGCTTCCACTTTTTGGCTGGGGCACCCCAGCCTAAAGTGTGGTCCCCCAGGCCTGCTAACGATGGCATGCAGTTCCAGTAACGGTTCTTAACCCTCCAATGCCTGCAACGTGTCTACACAGAGCCTGAACTGAGATGATGTGTGATTTAGCTCAAAAGTTAGTATCTAGCTATTTTAAGTGTGACTGAGCCCTCAGCGGTCCTGCTCCTGTGCTCTGTGGCTCCCGCGTGCTGTTTCTGTTTTTTCCACCTTCCTCCTTGAAGCCACCCATATACACCCGGGGAGCAATGCAGCTCACTGATAGAGGAGTCTGACAGCCCCCCACCCCTCACCCCCAGCAAACAGCTTAAGCATCCCTAGGTTCCTTCCATCAGGAAGCCAGCAGGGTGTTTTCTCTCCTTCCCATGAGACAGATCCTTGCCTTTCAGGCCCTGACCGTCTCCTCTAGAGCACTTCTGGTGACCAACCACTCTGAGCTCACACCTCATTAACCAGACACCATTTAGAAGGTGGAACTTCTGTCTTTTGTGTTTCCCCTGGAGTATTTTCAGGCTCTGCAAAGTTATTGAGTGAGAACACAAAAGACAGTATTAAAGGCAGTCTCCAGTCCTCATGGGCCATTCCCTCCTTTTAGAAGCATCTCCTCGGTACTGTTCTGCCCAGTCCTGTGGATATGAGGGCAGGCTCGTCTTTCCCCCCACGGCCTAACCCCACAGGAGCATGGCTCAGCCCCCAGCAGAAGGCACAGGACCTTGGGGTCTTGAGAACTCTGCTGCAGGTTTTAGAGCCTCTCCCTCAGCTACTGCAGGTGTTTCTGTAGGGAAATCTGGAAAGAGGGCCCAACAAGAGGCTCCATCCTGCTTTCTCCCTCAATTCTACCCCCTCAATTCTACCCCCCAGCTCAAAGCAGCTCCCCCTCCTCCCACAGGCTGAATCGCTGTCAGCCGTCTACCCTGGGATCTCTGGCCCTGCGGTGAAGGCTTTGGGGACACCCAACAACCCAGGACTGGAAAGGCATAAGCCTTCTGCTCCTCTCCCTTTTCCTGACTGTAATTTCTGGAAAGTTGTCCTCAAAGCCTTCCCCCAAAAGCCTATTCCCCCCATGGCCGTAGGAGGGGGTGGACATTTTCATTTGAATTCCAAGCAGCCTGAGGACCTGAGAGTGAGGCTTGTAGTGGGCACAGTGGTTCAATTCTGCTTGTGATTAAAGTCTGAAGTAGTGACTGTGGCCACTGGTCACAGCAAGGGCCCCGGGCTGCCCAAGTGGCCCACTGAGAAGAAGGGATCATGCTTGTTCTCACCCTGGGTCCGAGCTGGTCAGGGTCCTTGCTCCCCAGGGGACTAAGCCCCAATCCCAGCCTTCCCCACTGCCAAGTCGGAAGCTGCACTCCGAGACCCTGCTGACCCATCTTGTTGGCTGAGTGCAGCTGGCCTCCTCTTTCTCCCAATTTAGCAGCACTGACAGGAAGGAATCTTAGGGTCTCTTAGGAAGGCTGCCTCCCCAGGGTGGGCTTCACTGCACACTGCTGCCATGTAGCTGACTCCCACAGAACCTGAGTTTGCCAACCCTGGGGCCTGGCAACCTGTCCAAGGTGACAGATAGCCTCTACAGGCTTGTACGTGTGCAAAGGTGCTTTCTTCTTCCTGTCGCCGTGTGGTGGGGAGATAGGCGGGAATGCCATGGTGTCAGGTGTTCTGTACCAGGCGGCGGCACTGGTGGCCTCGGGGGCAGGTGGCAGTCTGTGTGGCCGAGGACCCTGCAAACTCTCCCCTCACCTGTCTCTGCTCCACCTCCCAGGCCTCCCCGCCCCCAACCCTGAACCCTGTAGAGTCCCAGAGCAGCTCAGAGCCCTGCCCTCTTCTTGGGGTCCTGGCTCCTGACACTCAGGGTGTCTCCAGTACCTGGTAGCAGGTAGCTTCTCTCTGAGGTTCCAGTGCCCACGTGCTGGCCAGCCCAAGGCAGAGCCTAATCTCCAAGGACCCTATCCTTACAGGTGAGGCAGGCCAGGTCCCTAAATAGCCCAGGCACCTGCTGTGGACTTGGCTCCCCTCTCAGGAAAGACCCCAGCACGTCAGCAAACTCTTCAGGCAGGCTTAGACTGCAGCCCCCTGCCAGCTCCTGCACGGGTGCAGGTAATACTGTGGTTCCTGGCCTCCATCAGAAGTAGCGTGAACAGTGCCTCCATCCAAAAGCCGAGCCTCTAATCTCAGAGAGGTCACAGAAGCTTCCCCCTGACTTGGGGAAGGCACTCAGGGGTCGGATGGCTCAGAAGTTCGGCTCCACGTTGGGCAGCCCTGACGAGGATGGGAATGGGGGCAAGCCTCACTTTGTCCTAAGCAGGGCTTGAATCTTTGAGGCATGGGGTTCCCGCTGCTTGGGTGTAACCATCCCAGAGGAATCTGGTGTGAAACCCAGACATCCTCTGACCCCCACCTTGTAACTTAACTGCCTGTAAGAGCAGTTTCTGCATTTACCCAGTGTTCACCTGTGCAAAGAACTCTGTGCCTCTCTGAGACCCCAGATGTCAAGGAACACAGTTGATTTGAGCGACAAGTTCACAGAGGAGCTGAAGGCGAGGGTTGTCTTGCACACTCCTCCACCAACAGCGTAAAAACTTCCCAAGTCCCTTCTCCATCGTGTACCCTTCTGTGGTTCATTTTCTTCTCCCTCCCCTACTGCCTACGGAGCTCAGGGACTCACTGCTCACTGGCTCCTCCCTGTAGTCCCTGTGGCCTCCCTGGGCACCTCAGTGTCCTCTTTCCTCCCTGTGCACAGCCAGCTCAGTCCCAGCTCCTGCGGCTGAGTCTCCCAGTGCCAGCACAGCCCAGAGCCGTCCCTCCAATGGAACCTTCATGAGGATAACAAAAGTTACCTGAGTTTTGTGGATTTTTCATTCCGGGTGTCCTGCCTAGCAAGTTTGAAAACCACACCTGGAGAACCCAGGACCCCCCTGGGGTGTCCCTGAGAAGCCCTTGTGGGGTGTCCCAGTTCTTCTCATCCATTCTGTTCTGCCAGCTCCCTTCCCTCTCTGCCCCATCTCTTCCTTCCTCTCCCGGCTCCTCTCTTTGGCAGGCTGTGAATTTACAAACAGCTGCAAGCAGAGCAGGCTCACTAGGGTCCACTGACTCTCCAGGACTGTCTCTGAGCCCGTCACTGAGCACCGATGACAAAGGCTGTGGACCTGGCTGGGCAAACTGGTCACACCCGTGTCCTGGGTGGTCTCTATGGGATGGTCGATTGTTGCCACTCGTAGTGCTATCGGCAGGGCCCCCGCTTCTGCTCTCTTCCTTCCCTCCCTCCCTCCCCAGCTTCAGAGAGGCAGGCAGCAGGAGATGCCCAGCAGGTGGATCATAGTTCTGCGGCTGAGTTTCTGTGCGGTTTGAGGCCATTCACATGATGTCTCTGGGCCTTGCTTTCTTCTTTGGTATCAGGAGAGTTTGGTCCTGAACAGTGGTTTTCAGCTATGTTGGCAGTGGGCCCATTTTGTCTAACAGAATCTTCTACAGAGACACAATATCAGGACTTGAGGTGTAGGGAGGGAGTCTACCTCGTAACGTAGATGTGGGAAGGGGGCAAGGTGTGTATGTGGGGATGCAGAGCTACTGGGGAAACGTAAGACCAGCATTGCCCCATCTCTGTTTTTAGAGACCTAAAGTGGGTCTTCCTGGCTTTTATATGCTGGCAATTCACTTCTTGAGCTACTTATTTTTAGATAATTGCAGATTTGGGCACGTAGTTGTGAGAAATGATATAGAGAGATCCTACGTTCCCTTTATCCCCCAATGGTAACATTTTGCAAAACTATAGTAAAATATCACAACCAGGCTGTTGACACTGGTAGAGCCAAACACAGACTATTTCCATCACCCCAAGGATCTCCCCCTGTTGCCCATTTACAGCGACACCCACCTCCCTACCGTGGGCACCCTCTCCTTAACCTGTGGCGACCACTAATCTGTTATCTGTCCTCCATTTCTATAGTTTTATCATTTCAAGAATGTTATATATATGGAATT